CTTAGCTTAAGTTAGAGTACTTGATTAGCTCGTGCAAAGCCTTCTGTGCAATCAATGTCTCACACTGAAAAAACAAACAAAAGGAAGGAGAGAGGGAAGAAGGTGAGAGACAGCCTAGCACACCACTCGTTCTGTACTCATGAACAGCTGGCCAAGATGTTTACCAGTCCTGAGCATTTCGCACCATCATAAGCTCCTCTGCTATCTGCCCCTAAACAAATGCCAGACAAGCTCCCCAACCAAAGGACCCCATCACTTCTGGGTTGCTGCTGTTGTTTCTGAGTACGAGTTAGTGCTCTTTTTGCTTGCCAGGCTCCCAGCTCTGCATGGTCAGCAGTGGTTGGGATAGTGCCAAACCCTGCCTGGTCAGCAGTCTCAAATGGACAACTTACTCTGTGCTTCAGCATGTCCAAATCCAACAGTATTCAGTCAGGAAGTTGCCGGCATTACCCCATCCTGCCATTCAGCTCATTCTCACTTCACTTCCAGCGCCTTCAGGGGAATCTGCAAGCTCTCTGAACATTTCAGTTCAAAATTGTACACAATGACGGAGAACCTAATTACAAAATGGCAAGGATCTGAAAAAATATTATTTCTCCAGATAAGATATCTAGATGCCAATAAGCACATGAAAAAGACAATATCATCAGTCAATAGGCATCAGCAAGAGAAAATAATAGCAAGACAGTACTTCATATCTGTTAGGCATAAGACTGGAGTAAGAAAAACAAAAAATTAAAAACATGCTCACATACTGCTACAAGGACAAACCTTGAGAACATGCCTAAACAAAGAGGCTAGACACAAAAAGCCACACGTTGTAAACTTTGTTGTTGTTGTTTGTGCTGGTATTGGGGCTTGACCTCAGGGCCTTCACACTGTTCCTCACACTTTTTCCCTCAAGGCTGGCACTCAACCACTTGAGCCACAGCTCCACTTCCAGCTTTGGTGGCTAACTGGAGATAAGAGTCTCACAGACTTTCCTGCCCAGGCTGGCTTTGAACCTCAAATATCAGCCTCCTGAGTAGCTAGGATTGCAGGCAAGAGCCAGTACTGCACAGTGGTTCCATTTTTGCTACATGTCCAGTATACACAAATCAAGGTATGCAGTTTTTTTTTTTGGAGGGTAATAAAGACATTCTGGAATTACATACTGGTGATGACTATGAATACAACCTTGTATATAAAGCCACTATGTTGGACATTTTAAAATAGCAAATTGTGGGGCTGGGAAGGTGGCTCAGTGGTAGAGTGCTTGCCTTGCATGTATGAGGCCCTGGGTTCGATTCCTCAGCACCACATAAGCAAAAAGAAAAAAGCCAGAAGTGGCGCTGTGGCTCAAGTGGTAGAGTGCTAGCCTTGAGCTGAAGAGCTGAGGGACAGCACCCAGGCCCAGAGTTCAGGCCCCATGACTGGCCCCAAAAAATAAAATAAAATAGCAAATTGTGTGATATGTGAATTAAATCTGAAAAAGTTGGTGTATTCTACTAAATAATTGGTTAGGCATGGTTCAAAAGTTTGCAGTTGCTGGGCACCATGGAGCATACCTGTGATCCCAAATATTAAGGAGGCTGAAGAGGGAGGATTGTTGCGTTTGAGGTAAGACTGAACTCACAAGACTAAAATAAGTTTACAGTCAGGAAAGAAAAAGACTGGCTTCAAATCATAATACTCTAGATCTCAACTCCCTGGGTAACTAGGATTACAGGCATGAGCCTGTAATAAAGTGCACAGATTGAATAAAATATATAAATTATTAGTAGTATTTTTATCAATGTCTAATTTCTTCTTTTCTCCTTTGGGAGAATTTGAATTTGAGATCTTATACTCTGAGCCATGCCTTCAGTCATTTTTCTTTTTTTTTTTGCTTTAATTATTCTTCCAGATAGGTTCTTGCATTTTTTCCCAGAGCTGGGTATGAATTGATGCTACCTATGCTTTCTATGTAGCTGAGATTATAGACTGTATCATCATGCCCAGTTTATTTGCTGGGATGGGGGGGTCTCACTTTTTTCTAAGGCTGGCCATTACTACAATCCTCTTTTCTTGTTGGTTGTAAGGCTTGAACTCAGGGCCTGAGCACTGTCCCTGAGCCTCTATGTGCTCAAGGCTAGTGCTCTACCACTTGAGTCACAGTGCCACTTCTGGGTTTTTGAGTGGTTAATTAGAGATAAGAGTTTCACAGGGACTTTTCTGCCTGGGCAGCTTAGAACTGGGATCCTCAGATCTCAGCTTCCTGAGTAGCTAGGATTACAGGTGTAAACCACCAGCACTGGCTAAACCACAATCCTTCTTCATCTCCTGAACTGGTGAGATTGCAAGCATGCACGCCACAGAGCCCTATTCTTTTGGTTAAAATGTAAAAAACATTCTTAGTTCATAGGCCATGCAAAAACAAGCAATAGGGTTAGATTTGGCCCACAATGTGTATAAAGGAAAAAAAATCACCTCAAATAAATTTGGCAACACTAGGTTAAACAAGTTATTATCCTAGCACGTAAATTTTACTTTTCATTTCAGGTCCTATCAATGCCTTTAATATGGTATTATAAAAAATGGTATTATAGGCTTAGATGCTCTAGGAAAGAATAATGATATGTAGCTGTTTCCAAACTCATTTTTACCATCAGATCTTTTGTCATAGGTCTCTCCTCAGGCTAGTGGCCTGAAGAATACACATATTAAAACGCCAATTCAGATTATTTCTCTAAAGAAGTTAAAAAAACTCTAACAAATTAAGAGCATTTTATCCAGCACTCATAACATCTGAAACTAAATATTCACAACTTTTTTTTTAATCTTGAGAAACACAAACAAGTTGAAAAACACAGGCAAGAATTTTTGGCCTGACCTCCACCTTTGTTTAGGGAAGTCAGCTGAACTGGGTCATAATATAGAATCATTGTTCTACAAGACAACAAAGCATTCTTAAACATTCTATCAGGTACTGAAAAAATAAGTTTCATAAAGCACAAAATAAGGAAAATTAGCATTTGATTAGTAAACTAAAAGCTGGGCACTGGTGGCTCCTGCCTATAAACCTAGCTACTCAGGAGGCTGAGATACGAAGATCACAGTTTGAAGCCAGCCCAGGCAGAAGTAGTCCATGAGATTCTTATCTCTAATTAACCACAAAAAGCTGGTAGTAGAGTTGTAGCCCAAGTTGTAAAGTGCTAGCCTTGTGCAAAAGAGATCAGAGACAGAACTTAGGCTCTGAGTTCAAGTACCAGGACTGGCACCAAACAAACAAATGAGGCCTAGAAAAAAATTCTATAAGCAACATTTGTAAATTGACACGCAGGCCAAGTTCATAAAAAGACTGCTCTTATGTGCTGGCTAGGCTATGAACTGCAAAATTTCTCTCAGTTACATACAACCACAACCTGCTCCAGAAAGGATTAAAGAGGGATTTCTGTTCCAAGGAGAAGACTGGATGGAACAACTTCAAAGAACCCTCCGTTCTGTTTGTGAGAGTTTACCAGCTTCTTCTGGTACACAAAATCTTGGAGACATTTCAGAAAATAAGCTACTAACTAGTGAAATGGTTCCTGTCTAGTTATCCAGCCAACAATATTTCAGACACCGCTATCAGATGGGTCATTCCAAAGTCCTTAAAGAGAAAGATGGCACACAGGGCAACCAGGAAGAGATTTTACATAAGATCAAGAGCTGACCTTACTTACAGGAAGATGTAGGCTAGTGGGATGGAGGTGTCAAGAAAAGAAAGCAGGGCAAAGAAATGTTACATTAACTTTGAGGGCAGATTGAGCACCAGATAGATTAAACGTAATTACAGAAACAGAGACACAGGAGGCAATAGGTCTGGCCCATTACTAGTCACCTATAATGAGTTTTCCATTAAAAATTTCTTTTTTTTTGGGGGGGGGGGTCCGGTCGTGGGGCCTGAACTCTGGGCCTGGGCGCTGTCCCTCAGCTCTTCAGCTCAAGGCTAGCGCTCTACCACTTAAGCCACCGTGCCACTTCCGGCTTTTTTCTTTTTGCTTATGTGGTGCTGAGGAATCGAACCCAGGGCCTCAGGCATGCAAGGCAAGCGCTCTACCACTGAGCCACCTTCCCAGCCCCCCCATTAAAAATTTCTTACATTAAGCAAAACCTGGTCTTCCCGTAAAGTTCTACCTCGGTTTAATTCTTAAAGACGAAGCGGAAGCCCTCTGGGCCATAACATTCCACACACACCCCCAACCAGTTTTTAAAGACAGTTATTTCCTGTCCAGTGTTCTTTCCCAGGCGAAACACTCCACTTCTTTCAAAGTTCTTGAACTGTCTCCACTCGAACGAAGAAAGGCCGTCTAGTAGTCACCGCGGGAAAAGGAAGCTCCAAAAAAGCAGTAGGGACAGAACCCAATCGCAAAGGGATTGTACAGAACAACGCTTCCTAGATTCCAAACCCAGTCTCTCAGCAAGTGGTCCGATTGTAAGAGAAAAAAAAAAAAAAAGTCCAGAAGCAAAGCCGGCATCCTAGGCAATTTCGAAGCCACGGGGTTTAAGATCGAGACACGTAGCCCCGTTTAATAAGGAAAATTCAGGTTCAGCGCACAGGTGAGAGATTTGGCCTAGGACGCACAATTAGCTGTCATGGGAGAAGGGCCGAGGTCGAACCCCAGGTCACCCCCAAATCTGTTTCCCACCCTCTTCGGTCCCTCTAGCTCTCCACACAGGGCCAAGTCGCTCCCAGCACGACCCTGAAATAGGCGGTCCCCCAGGGGGGAGTGGCAAGGAGTCGGGGTGGGCTCTCTGCCTAGAAAGAGAACCCGCAGGACCCCCTCCCTTCCCTTCCCTAAGGCCTCAGCTTCTCCAGTCTCTACTCTTGGCCCAGGAAAACACAACGTCGGTCCCCCTTTTCTTCTAGTCCCGGGCCGGGCAGGCTTTGCGGTCTCCGGGCCCCCGGAGCTCAGGTGTTTCGGTCCGTTAGTTCCGGGAAGGCGGAACGGGGTCTGCCGCGCCACCCCCCACTGTCCCCCGCAAAGCCCCTCACATACCTGCCAAAGCCGCCCGTGCCGGTCCGTACGTCCGCTGACTACAGACAGACCGCCGCGTCAGTCAGGAAGATCGTACCTCCGACCCCTCCTACGCCGACTCCGGTCACCTGACGCGGCCACGCCCCCGTTTGGAGGGACTTCCGGAAACAACCGGAAAAGGTTGGTTCTCCACTCTGTGGGCTCGGTTCCGGACTGGAATTCTAAGGTTCCGCCTGGGGACCGGAAGCAGAACAACCCAGTGACCCTTCAGTAGCTTTTTCCAAGAGCCTGGGAAGAGAAGCCACGTTTTGAGAGATCGAATCGGGAGTCTTTATTAGAAGAAAGCTGGCATTGATGGCTCAATGAACCTGCAGCTCCAAATGTTGTTAGCACAAAGCTTATAAAGGCAAAAACCAGGGGCTGGGAAGGTGGCTCAGTGGTAGAGCGCTTGCCTTGCATGCATGAGGCCCTGGGTTCGATTCCTCAGCACCACATAAGCAGAAAAAGCCGGAAGTGGCGCTGTGGCTCAAGTGGTAGAGCGCTAGCCTTGAGCTGAAGAGCTGAGGGACAGGCCCAGAGTTCAGGCACCACAACCGGACCCCCCCCCCAAAAAAAATAAATAAAAGCAAAAACCACCTGATGCAGATAGGGAACTAAACCTAACAAGAGTGTTACATAAGCAAAGCAAGCTAGGTGGCGGCAAGGGGCTTAGGGCAGGAAAACCTTGGAGCAAGACTTTCCTGGAGCTAAACATGACACATCTGCAATTCAATGAGTGACCTATTTCACATCTACTGTTTTTGGACTGAGTGAAGTTTCCCCTGTATGGCCTTAAGATGGCGTTGGGAACAAGATGGCATTGCTTAGTCCCAGTATTTCAGGTCATGGAAGTACTGAATAAAGTTGGGACATATTTCTGCACAAGTGTAAGGATGCTAAGAAGAAGGATGGGAGGCAGGCACTTGTGGCTCAGGCCTGAAATCCTAACTACTGAGGAGACTTTGAGGTTCAGGATTTGAAACCAGTCTGGGCAGGAAAGTCTGTGAGACTTATTTCCAATTAACTACCAAAAAGCTGGAAGTGACTTTGTGGTTCAAGTGGTAGAGTGCCAGCCTTGACCAAAAAAGCTCAGGGACAGTACCCAGGACCTGAGTTCAAGCCCCAGGACCTGCACAAACTTTCTTACCGAAAAATCCTGAACTTTACCAATCCTGGAGGGTGGGCTGCTGCTTCAGATCAAATTCCTATGAAAGATAATGAAATGAGATGGGTGCTGGTGCCTCATTCCTATTGATCCTAGCTACTTGGGAGGCTAAGATTTGAAGATGCCAATTTGAAGTCAGCCCAGACAGACATATCTCAGAGACTCTTATCTCCAATTAACCAGCAAAAAGCCTGAACTGGAAGCATGGCTCAAGTGGTAGGGCTCCCAACTGGCAAGTACAAGGCCATGAGTTCTAAACCCCATTTTCTCTCTCTCTCTCTCTCTCTCTCTCTCTCTCTCTCTCTCTCTCTCTCACACACACACACACACACACACACACACACAAACTGCTTTAACTTCTGGTTACATGATAAAAGTTATTACAGTACAGTGGTGTGTTCAGTTCAGACACCTGACTCTGCTGTAGGTTGGGCAGGCCCCTAGTGTGCCGTGTAGCTGAGGCACTGCTGTACAGGTGGAACATAGAGAACCCATCATTCTATAGAACAAGCTGAGCCTTCCATACTGGTTCATGGCCATGTGGCTCTGGTGCGCAGTTATTTCTTTCTGGTAAGCAGCAAAATGTCCTCTGCTCCAAATGCACCTGACCTCAGCTCCCACCAGCAGTTAGTTCTCTCTAACCCAGTCTTATCCAGGACCGAAAGAGGACCAAAGTGAATTCTCTCAGAGTCCCCCTACTTTATTCTGGGGACCCTAGATTCCAATAGAGCTTAACCCACTGAGTTGGGGACAGTGTCTGTGAGTACCCAAATTGTCCCCCATGATGGCTACTCTAGGCAGCTCACTGGCACACTTCTGAGGAACTCTTGGCCTTGCTGGTCACTGAAGTACACACAGATAATGAAGGCACTGAAGGTCACCATAACATGCAGGCCCAAGCTTCCAATCACCAAGTCCCATAATCTCTAATACATCTGTACTTGGTAGGTTTCCTCCCAGAATGACTACAGCACAAGAAAGAGGTATACTTCTCCAGTTCCTGAACCCTACCTTGAGCTCATTACTAATCTAATCTTTCTGCCATGAAGTCATCCTGGTGAGCAAGGATCTATTACCTCACCATGTAGACCTGCTTCAGGGCAGTGTCGTGGGCCATTGTCATGGCTGCCACTTCCAGCTTCTCTTTTTTTTTTGGGGGGGGGCGGTCGTGGGGCCTGAACTCTGGGCCTGGGCGCTGTCCCTCAGCTCTTCAGCTCAAGGCTAGCGCTCTACCACTTGAGCCATAGAGCCACTTCCGGCTTTTTTCATTTTGCTTTATGTGGTGCTGAGGAATCGAACCCAGGGCCTCAGGCATGCAAGGCAAGCGCTCTACCACTGAGCCACCTTCCCAGCCCCTCCAGCTTCTCTTCTGCTCAGTTGTTTCCTTTCCTCTCTGTCTGTTGAGCCTGGAGATTTTCTATCTCATCTGCTCAAGCTTTTAAGAGACCTGCAGTCCCCCTTAGTAACACATAGACCCCCCCCCCCCCCACACACACACCTCATGTACTTGTCCCAGCTGGGGTTGCATTACTGCCACTTAGCATTGAGGTTTTCCACATTAATCACCTCCTTTTGTCAACAGTCCACTTTCTTCCTGGAACTTCTCAGTAACAGCCTCACCAGAGGCATTCCTAATTGTCTGTTCTGCCTTTTCAAAGTATTCGCCCTCACACCCTTCTGTGTGTGCTGTCATTCTGATGCTTGGCCAGACGCTGACACCTGAGGGCAGTGGGAGCCAGTGTCCTGGGCAATGGGTGAGTCTTATCAGCCAAGAAGTGGCACAGAACTGGCTTTCAGCCAGAGCCATTCCTTCTCCACCAGGCTTCTCCACAGCAGGATGACTTCCATCCTATACCTGGGCTGTAATGGACTCATTAGCTGCAACTTGTCCTCTTTTTCTTCCAGTACCTTAGTCTCTTGGTTCTGGATTCCCAGCCTGCTTTGGCAGGGAAAGCATGGTGAAGCAGAGCAGATCACCTCATAGCAGTCAGGAAGGAAAGAAGAAAAGAGAAAAAAGAGAAGTGGAGGAGAGGGAAGGAAAAGGAAGGGAAAACACCTATGGTTGGTTTATGATTTTTGTTGTTGGTGGTGATGGTCGTGGGGCTTGAACTTGGGGCCTGGGTACTGTCCCTCAGCTCTTCAGCTCAAGGCTAGCATTCTACCACTTGAGCCCCAGTGCCACTTCTGGTTTTCTGGTGGTTTATTGGAGATAAGAGTCTCACAAACTTTTCTGCCCAGGCTGGCTTTGACCCATGATCCTCAGATTTCAGCCTCCTGACTAGCTAGGATTCCAGGTGTGAGCCACTGGCGCCCGGCTTATGATTTTTTAATTGACATAAAAGAACAATAGGAAAAATGCAGGCTCTTCATTTCATTAGAATACCCATTAATAAACATGATAGAGTTAGACAAATCACAAATGAATAGTGAACTAGAGGAATAGGGTGTTGGGCTGAGATGTAGCTCAGTGGCAAAACACTTGCCTCACAAATGCAGTGTTCTGGGTTTGATTCCCCAGTGGTCACCCCTACCCCCACCCCCAAGAAAGAGATGAGAAACAGGATAGTTACACAGAAATGTCGTCTACAAATTATTCATTGGTTACAAAGGGAATTGATAAAATGACAGAGTATTTGTATCCCAGTAGAACAAATGAATCCTAAAGATCAAGGCCAACTTGACTGATAATAGGTCAGGTAGAGATTGTGTGCCTCCCAATGAAATACTCAGAGAACACACATCTCTTTTGTCAGGCCAGGAGTATGGCTCAGTGGCAGAGTATTTACCTAGCATTCCTGAAAGTGCATGATTTAAATGTCATGACAGCCAGGAACTGGTGGCTGTGCCTGAAATCCTGACTATTCAGGAGGCTGAGATCCGATGATCATAGTTTGAAGCCAGCCCAGAGAAGGAAAAGTCCATGAGACTCATCTCCAGTTAACCAGCAAAAAGGCAGAAGTGGAGGTATGGCTCAAGTGGTAGAGTACCAGCTTTGAGTGAAAAAGCAAAGTAATGGCATCCAGGCCTTGGGTTCGAGCCCTAATACTGGTATACACACACACAGAGACACACACACACACACACACACACACACACACACACACACATCTCATGAGAAATTATGAGATCAACCCACAAAATAGTTTTATGGGTCATGAAAAACTGAGGAATTTTTCTAGCTCCAGAGCAAAGCTTGGTGGTTCACTCCTGTCATCCCAGCTATATGGGAGAATTGTAGTCTGAGACCACCCCCCCCCCCGCAACCCCACAAAAGTAAGAGATGTTATTTGAAAAATAACTAAAGCCAAAAGGGCTAGGGGGTATGGCCAAAGTGTAGACCACTGGCCTTGCAAGCTTGAGGTCCTGATTTCAAACCCAGTACCACCTAGACAAGGAGACTAAAGAGACAGGAGAACAAAATTTGATGTGTGATTTCCAAATTGTATCTTGGCCTGAAGTGAAGTAACATTTTGCTTATGGCTTTATGTATTCACTGTTAGTACACACTATATTAAATCATACACATTAAGAATTGTACTCAGCAATCCTTAAAGTCTTTCATTGTTTAAGTCACTTAATAAACGTTTTGTAAGGACCTAACAATAACCCAAAGACTGTTAGGGATTGAGTCTGAGCAGGAAGTACTCATAGTAGATAAAATAAACTCATAAGTGTTTTATGCCTAATCAGCCAGCTGTGGACAGAAGTGTCGTGGGGGATATTTCCATCACACAAACACAGATTTGAGACCCATTGCTGACTTCCTGGAGTGGGTCTGACACAGGTGGACCTTATTATCCTTCTGTTGAGCATAAAAATGTCACAGAAGCTACGCACTGGTGGCTCACACTTGTAATCCTAGCTACTCAGGAGGATTGCAGCTCAAAGGATCTGGGCAGAAAAGTCCA